ATGATGCCGCACCTCGACCCGATCCTGGACACGTCTCATCCGCTTCTGTCTATGCATGCTCGAGCAACCCGCACACCTGCCTGCTTCCCCACGTTTAAATTGTGGCCGTAGACCGCAGTAAACTTCGTACCTCGGTCCTGCGGACATGACCGGACAGCTCGCCTCCGTGCAGAACTCCGTAATGGTCCCGTACAGCATGTTGATTTGGTTGAAGAAATCCACCGCTGGAAATGAAACGCATGGAGTTTACTCAAAGCGCAAACGCAAAGCGGACCGGAGGACCGGTTCGCTCTCGTTCAGCTGACGCAGCCTCCGAGGATCACCGTCGCGGGGGTGAACGTGCCGCTAAGCTCTCAGCGAAAACAAACATCCCCCTTCCGTACGAGGTCATGCGGGCGATGACTTCGAGACATTTCAACCATCTAGGAATTTGAATCGCTCCGTCAAGTTTTCACCTGCTGGTTGCTGCCCCTAGCCGGTTTGTATGGCATGAAGCGCCACTTAGCTTTCCACACCTTGGAAATGACTGCTTTAGGTTCCAGGCACCTTTAAAAAAACGACAGCACCTCAAAACCCCGACTGATTTTGATGATACAGGAGACCTTCCTTAGGTTGAACGCCTGTGGCCTGACTTGCTGTTTTCTGTTGCTCAGAACTACTTCTTTTTCCACTAACCTCCAAAGAAACAAAAGTTCAAGGCCAGGGAGAACGACTGCTAGAAGCAAAATAAACTTGTAATATTTGGCTTTTTTAACCATGCATACAGCAATAATAAAAGGAAAAAAGAAAACAAAAAAGAAACTCCACAAACCTAGCGTTCAGTGGAGAATACGGTTCCGCTTTTTCCCTGGACTACTCGCTGTCACCGTTTTTGCAGCCGACGACGCTAACTTTGTAATTCCAAACATCGATACTCGAGGCTTACTCCCCGGTACAAAAATAACCATTCACAAACCTAATCGCCTTTGCAAGTCTGAACTCAAAAAACCCCACCCCGAAACCACAACGGCACGGGTTTGTTTCTCGCTTTTTGCACGCTTCAGGAGCGCAACGCCCCTTCGACGCAGGACCCATCTGCCGTCAGCACGTCACGCCGCTTACTTTCCTTAGTTTCCCAACTCGGTTCCCTAAACAGAGCATACCTAGGGTAAGAATTTCTTTTGGGGAAGTTTTGGGTTCTTCTAAGGATAAAAACCAGAGATATTTGGTTATCCCACTCCACCTCCACGCTCGGGCGGATCCCTCTTTCATAAGGCTTACTGTTAACTGCGATCCACTCGTTAAGGTCCTCTCCCTCCGGCAACATAACCGCTTGTCTAAGGTTACCGCTCCCCAGAGTCGCTTCCGCATGTTTCAAGAGTTCATACTGATGGGAGCCTTCGGGAATGTTCTTCTTGGGCTTGAACGTTTTCGAAGATCGACTCCCGCTGACAAGAGAGAAGACGTTTCCAGTTAGTCCTTTAACAGCGTTCCCTTCCCAGAAGCGCTTCCCGTATTATCCCTCGCCACCCGGCGCTTAACCGGGGCCCCCCCGCCCCCCCCGCCGTAGGGGCGGCCAGATCCTACGCGCAAGCCAAAGTGTTTCTGACGGCGCCACAAAAAAGCTGCCCGCACGCTTCCCTCTTTCGCCTGCCCTTTTTAACAACCACAAACGTTCGGTGCAAAGGCCCGAAGACTCATCAAGCAACAGTTGCTTTCGATCACGGAAAGAAAAGCCCATGTAACTCCGCCGGGGAACAAAACAACCTGCCGGCTGCCACTAGGTCGGTTTGACAGCAGCAAATATTAGACACTCGGCACTCAGACACACCGTAGGAAACAGCTGGCTAAAAATAGCGACTTAATAGACTCCAGCCCTGAAATGCAAATCATCGTCGTAATCTTCCCTTGCTGCGTTGTACTGACAGC